CTTTGTGTAGCCAATAAAGCACAGGTAAACATCTTTCTGATATTCTCTGCTTTCAGCCAAGATCCATCGGACATCAGCAATGATATCCCTCATTCCACAGCCTCTTCTGAATCCAGCTTGAACCTCTGGAAGTTCTGTATCAATGTACGATTGTAGCCATTTTTATATTACCTTTAGCAAAACTTTACTAGCATATGATATCAAAGAGACTGTCCGATGATTTCCGCATTCCATTGGGTCACCTCTCTTCGGAATGGGCACAAATATGGATCTCTTCCAATCAGTCAGCCAGATAGTTGGCTTCCAAATTTCTTGGCGTACATGAGTGAGTGCCTCCTGTGCCACCTCACTTTCTTGAGAGATTTCCATTTTTATTCCATCAATTCCTGGTGCCTTGTTCTTTGCCAATTCCTTCAATTCACCTTGGACTTCCTCCCTGAGTATCATTGGCTCTTGATCATATGCTACCTCTTGAAAAGGTTGAACATTAACCATTTCTTTTTGGCACAGTGACTCTGTGTATTCCTTCCATCGTCTCTTGATGCTTTCTGCATCATTCAATGATGTGCCCAGAGAATCTTTCAATAACAAAAGTCAAGGCTTGAATTTTTTCTTCAGTTCCCCCAGCTTGAAAAATGCTGAACGTGTTCTTCCTTCTTGGTTTTCTGATTCCAGATCTTTGCACATTTTGTTATAATATTTGGCTTTATCTTCTCGAGCTGGTCTTTGAAATGTTCTGTTCAGCTCTTGGACCTCCTCATTTCTTCCATTTGCTTTAGCATCTCTACATTGGAGAGTAAGTTTCAGAGTCTCTTCTGATATCCATTTTGACCTTTCCCTTCTTTCCTGTCTTCTTAATGACTTTTTGCTTTCTTCATGTATGCTTTTACTATTAGGTATTTTAAAACTCTTCCACCCTCCATTCATTATGAGCTTCCACAATTTAGGAACCTCACCACCACATTTCCATATAAAATCTGTCTTAGGTGAGTTCTCTAGAAGAGCAAAACTAGTGAAGCGTGTGTGAGAGAGTGTGTGTGTGTGTATATAACAACAAAACAAACCCATTGCCATCAAATTGATTATAACTCATAGCAAAACTATAGGACAGAATAAAACTGTCCCATAGGGTTTCCAAGACTGTAATCTTTATAGAAGTAGATCCGCATCTTTTTCCCTTAGAGCACTTGGTGGGGCTGAACTACCAACCTTTTGATTAGCAGCCAAATGCTTAACCACTGCACCACCAGGGCTCCTTAAACACACGCACACACACATATATATGTTCGTTTTTGTTGTTGTTGTTGTTTAGTGCCACTGAGTTGGTTCCAATTTACAGTGACCTGTATAGGGTGTCCAGGGGTCTTAGTGTGGCACTGTAGAATAAACACTGCACCACTAATCACAAAGTCAGCAGTTCAAATGCAGCAGCCACTCCTTGGAAACTCTCTACAGGGTCACTATCAGTTGGAACCAACTAAACAGCAGTTAACAACAACAACATAAGAGTGTCCAAAGCTATAAATCTTTGCAGGAACCTAAAGCCTCATCAGATCCCAAAATGGAGGATAATTATGTAATATTAAGAATTATGGCTTAGCCAAGTGGACATAAAGCATTAAACATCACAGCTGCTAAGCCAAAAGGTTGCAAGTTTGAGTTCTCCCAAAGGTGCCTCAGAAGAAAAGTCTGGCAATATACTTTTCTTTAAATCTGCCATTGAAAACCCTATGGAGAGCAATTCGTTCTATTCTGACACAAATGGGGTTTCCATGAGTCCCAATTGATTCTACAGCAAGTGGTATGTAATCCTTAGGTTTCAAATGAGGTAGAATGAATATGTCTAAAGGCTGGATACAAATCCCACTTATGCTACTTATTAGCTATATGACTTCAGACAGGTCTTTCTGGATCTCAGTTTTGTTTGTGAAAACATAACTTTATACTAACAGCTGCAACTTAATAAGTGAGAGCTATTGCTTCAAGGAGGACTCCTAATGGCGCTGTGGGCTAAGCATGGGGCTGTTAACCACAGTTCACACCCACCAGCTGATCCAAGGGAGAAAGATGTGACTGTCTGTTCCTAGTTTCGGAAACCCTAAAGAACAGGTCTAACTCTGTCCTATACAGGGTTGCTATGATGTCACTTTGAAGACTAAGATGCACTTGATTCAAATCATAGGATTTTCAGTCATTGCCCATGCATGTGAAAGCTCGACAATGAATAAGGAAAACCAGAGAAGAATCGATGCATTTGATCTATGGGGTTGGTGAAGAACATTGAAAACACCATGGAATGCCAGAAGAATAAACACATCTGTTTTGGAAGTAGTATGGCCAGATTGTTTCCTGGAACGGATGATGGCAAAACTTTGTCTTTCATACTTCGGACATATTATCAGAAAGGACCAGTCCCTGGAAAAGGACATCATGCTTCATAAAGTAGAGGGTCTGTGAGAAAGAGGAAGACTCTCAAGTAGATGGACGGACTTAGCGGCAGCAACAATGAGCTCACATATAACAATTGTGAAGATGGTGCAGGACCAGGCAGTGTTGTGTTCTGTTGTGCATAGGGTCCCTATGAGTCAAAACTGACTCCCTGGCACCTAACAACAACAATGAGTTGGAATAAATTCAATAGCAGTGGGTTTGGGTTTGGTTTTGACTTCAGAGTACTTTTTGTACTTTATAAACATTTGTTTATTGAACAGTGCAGAAGCCCATTTGCCCAAATCAGTAACCTAAGCATTCTTCTTCTTGACTTCTCCATCTACCACATCAACCAACAACCACTCAGGCACAACCTTGAGGAACTCTATCTCCTAAATATACCTTAAACATCTCATTTTATTCTATCCCCATAGTTGTCACCCTAGTCGAAGCTACCATTTTCATCTTCCCCTACTCAACTACTGCTCAGCCTCCTAACATATCTCCCTGCTTTTACCCTAGCCTCCTCCCATTCACACTTCGCAGGAGGTAAAAAATAAAATTGTTTTGTTTGCATCATGAGTCTAAGCATTTTTTTTAAATCCCCTGATCTCCCACACCTACTTCTAAGCCTCCTCTCAGCCACTCAAGATATCCTAAACCTAATTCATTTTACTCCAGTGAGTCACATTAACTCTTGTCCTTAGGTCTTCATACAAAGTGTGTTTCTCTGCTTGGAACAAACCCCTTCCCCACTACTAAAACAAACATCCTTTACTTACTATTCATCTTTCATATTTCAGCTTCAGTGTCATTTCCTAAGTACCAGGACACAACCCTCCCTCTTATATGTGCTTCCACAACTCTCTGTTCTTCCTCTATAATAATACTTGTTACAATAATACTTCCTCTATAATAATGCTCCATATACTGTGATGACTTGTATAACATCTGCCTCCACCACTAAACTAGCCCCAAGATAACACAATCCATTGTTATAGTCCAGCAGTTACCAGAGTCTTTGGCAAACTGTAGGCGTTCAAAAATATTTATTGAATGAACAATTACATATATGGTTGAATGAATGAACTCATGAATGCATGAATGAATAAATGAACAAACGAGAATATCTCCCTGTTCGCCGGAAATGTCAGGGTGAGCGCTCCACATTACAGAAAAAAAGACTGCCACGTGGGGGCGTCTAGGGCAAATACGGACCACACGGGGGCGCCTTCCGCTCGTTGTATCCGGTTGGCACCTCCGACTCGGTTACTAATCTCCTAGGGCGGCAGGGGCGGGGCTTTCCCTCTGATAGACAGTAGCGCTCCGCCCAATCTAATTAATCTTTTCCTTGGCCCCGCCCACCCAGGTCTCGGAGACCCTCGGAGTGGGACTGATGGTGGCGCAGCCCGCAGAACTCTAGCCTGGCGCTTTCGAGAAGGAACCAGCTGGGCTGGTGGTCCGTGAGTAGGCGGTCCGTCGCTAGGGGCGGGGCCTCATGTGGACAGACAGGCCGGCGGTCCCACCCCTCCCGCCCAGAGAGGCCGCGCCAGCGCTGGGGACAGCAGAAGTGAGTACGTGAGCGGCGCAGCAAGATCCCGGCCCGGACCCCGGACGGCAAGCGCACCCAGAGCTCCTGACCCAAGTCCGGCCCGCAATCGACCGACGGATTACTGTGCAACCTGAACCACGACCACCTGCGCCCTCACGTCCCGGTCCGCCTCCCTGAGTGCTCCGGCACAGAGCTCCCCAGCTCTCTGGATCCTCCTGGACTGGTCCGTCCAGATTCCCGCATCCCCGAGGATCTCCAACGTTGGGATCCGAAGATAGCCTCGGCCCCGGAGCCACCCGCCTGGATCTCACCTTCCATCGTCTGGACCTCCTGGGACTGTACGAGAACCATTCCGGAACCCGCCGAACCGACCCTCCTCAGCTGCCGACAGCCCCTCCGGCGCGGCCCGGCTCGGCTCTCGGAGCCTTGCCTGGCCATGGCCGGAACCCGCCCGCCGCCTCCGGGGCTCCTGCCGCTGCTGCCTCCGCTGTTGCTGCTGCTCCTGCTTCTGCCTGCCGGCTGCCGGACGCTAGAAGGTGAGCGGCGTCGGGGGGCGCGCCAAGAGGGAACCGGGCGTGGAGGACCAGAGATGCGGGCTGAGCGCACCTCGAAAAGGCGCGCAGAACGGCGGTCAGCGGTCGCGGGCAGCTTGGCTCGGGATCAGGGTCCTCGAAAGACGTCCCCGCCTTGAGATCTTGTGGGAGGACCCTGCACTCACGGTAGAGAAGGGGGTCCTCCGCACCTCCGAGAGGCGAGGAAGTGTGGGCGATACATGAAACAAGTAGGGGGCTCCGAGACTGCTACGGAGCTATCGCGGGTGGGGGCGGCGATGGGCTCCCCAGTTTGGGGGGCGGTCACTGTTTAGGTTCCCGTTGGAGTTAACTGTGAGTGTGAATGCTTGCACCCCGCCTTGTCAGGGGATGGCTGCGGAGGTGGAGAGGCGGGGGCCGGTTATTGTTTATGGTTTACTGAGTGCTAAATACACATGAGGTGCTGTGTGCGCGGGAGTCGCATCCAGCTCTGTTCCTCCTCAGGCTCACCCCTGCCTTTCAGCAGGAAACCCCGAGTCCTCCGGTCTCCAATGAGCCCCTGAAGTTGTAGCGTTCGCCACAGGTAGCGCCGGAGCCGGGTTCCGTGCGTTACTCACTAACCAGGGGCTAAGACCGGTTTTCTTTGGGTTGTGTGAAACCTGCCAAGACTACTGAGGGGTAGCTCCAACTTCAAAAGACTACTTGGATGAACAGCCCGAGGTTGTTGGCTCTGGAGGGAGAGCTCACACACATGCCACTTGACACAAGCCTGCAGGGAACAGAGGCACGACACAGATTACAAACAATGGAATCTCACTTTGTTAACAACAACAAAAAAAATGGAGTAATTAAATGGGGGTGGCACGGGGAGGCCTCCCTTAATGTGGGCTTGATTGGGTGGGGGGGGGGGGGGGAAACTCCACAGAAATCTGGAAGAAATTGGAATATAGGCAGTATTTATTTTAGGCATCTTTCACAAACCTCGTCACTTTCCTAGTTTAGGAACAAAAAAACAAACAAACCAATTCTGTGTGACTTGGTTTGCTCATATGTTCACAATTGGTAAACTTAAAGGTTGGAAGAAAAAATGAACACAGTTCATAGAGAACGGCATCTTCTGGTGCTTTCTATTTTTCTCCAGGAAAAAAAATAGGTTCCTATGATTCTCCCCTTCCTACCTCACTCTGACCCCTTTTATCTCCGAATCCACTGGTGCTGGCAGATTGATTCACACGGTGGACAACTTGCAGATTCAGACAGACACACCGAGGTCACGCCCACACTCAAGCACACTCACGTGCATTCACCCACATGTGTGTGATAGGATCACAGGCCTGAGAAACCAGTGTGGGGTTTTGTTGTTGATTGCCTTAAGGGTGTGAGCTAAGGAACCTGTTCCCAGGCTGTGCCTGTGTCTCTGCCCTAGACAGGCAACACCAGCACACATGCACTTACACATTCACTTGGCTGTATGTCACTTGTGTGTGTCAGGGCCCTTGGGTATCAGGGGTGTTGTTAGCTGCTGGTGCTCAGAGTAGTAGTGTGAGTGTGGGGGTGTGGTTAGGTCAGGTGAGCTAAAGCTACATAAGGAGGTTCGCCCCTTCTTCTTTCCTCCTTCCAACCCTCCTTTCCATTCCTTCATATTCCTTACAACCCTTCCCAGTCCCACTATCTGCCTGACCCTAGCCAAGGCCTTCAAGCCAAAGAATTGCGGGGCTGACCAGGAGACAGAGTTGGGATAAAATATGGCAACCACTGTGGGACTGCCCCTAGGAAGTAGTAATGCCTTCCAATTTGGGCTTTTATTTTCTGGACTACCAACACCAACTCTTTGAAGTTTGTCGTACTCCCACTGTGGTTTTCAGTTTGTGTGAGGGAAAGACAGAGAAATACCCCAGGGTGCTGACAGCCCCCCAGATCCTCCGGTTCTCCCTCCCTATGAAGTGTGGGGATGGTAATAGTACCCATCTCATTGGTTATTATGAGAACTGGATCACTATTTTGTGCAAAATGCTTAGCACACAGTCATTGTTGTTCAAGGATTAGTTTAGCTATTAGTATTGTTAATATCCTAGGGTCTGCTGCCCAGGGTACCCAAGAGGTGAAACGGGGAGGATGGTGGCTCTGTAGTGTGCCCTTGTCCTGCCAAGGGAAGTTAGAAAAAGGAATGATGGGGGAGGGAGGGGCAGGACACCTGGAGGGTTGGTCTGAGGTTGGAATGAGGTAGAAGTTGTCTTTCTCTCTGTCCCCCTACAGCTCCAGGGAGAGAAAGGATGGGAGAAGACCAGGGTCATTGTGCTTCTGTTCCCTGCCTTCCCCCTGCAGTCCTCCTCCCTAGCCTTGTGCTTGAAGGGCAGATGGGTGAACTTCAAGAGCCAGAGGGCAGGGCCATGTGGGACCCTTGGCAGTAAAAATCTATCTACCCCTCATACTCTATGGGTAGGGATCTAGCCTCACCCTCACTCTAGCATTCCTTTTAGTTTTATCAAAATCTAGTTTGCCCTTGGTTGAGGGCAGCCTCTCATCTTGAGGCCATTACAGTTAAGCTGGGGTGCCCTTGTTGTACCCACTGGTTAAATGATGTCTTGCACCTGGTTTCTGCCCCTCCCAACACACTTGAGGTTCACCAAGATGCCCCCATCCAAGGATCTCTGATTTTCTGTGTAGATGGGAACTAGGGTCCTTACTTGTCTCCTGGTTAAAGAAATATGCTTCCCTTGTCCTCTGATTCCCCTCCCCACTTTCCTCCCTCCCCATAGACACAGGGAAACAGGGCCACTTTGTCACTCACTCTCCTTCTGAGTAAAGTCCCTCAGTCCCCCCCCAAGTCTTGATCTGTCTCCCTTTCAAAACCAGAATGGGTAGAGGAATGGGGTCCTGAGCAGTAATCAGACCAGGAATGAGACCTAAGGTGAAGGGAGGCTACCGGGACCTCTTATACCTGAAATAAGATCAGGAGTTCCCGCTGCAAACATTCTCTTTTAGGAAAAGAGAATCAGTCACCAAATCCTAAGCGGTGGGGGCTGGCACATCCCCTGTCCACCTAAGCCATGCCTACTGAGCTGCTGCAGCAGTGGAAACAAGCCCTGAGGATAAGAGTAAATGTGGGAGCCCTCGCCCCAGTGACCACTAAGATGGTGGTGTTGAGGGGGGACCACGGGCCTGGGATTTTTGTGGCTTGCTCACTTAAAGTTTGAGTTGCTTCTGGCACCCCCCAACCCCACCACATCCCTTGTTTGTCATGAGCTTCAGAGCCGCCCAGGAGGGACAGCAGCAGGTATTTGAGGGAAACAGTTTGCTGGCCATTGCCTTCCCTTTAGCCAGAGCTGCTACTGCGGCCACTGCCACTGCCACAGTCGCCTTCACAGCAGTGAGCTAAAGACAAGCTGCCATGGATGGGCAAGGCCTCGCCACCCAGCCTTCCACTAATTAAACAGCATGAAGAGGCTGAATCACCAGACCTGCATAGTTTGAAAATTGTAGCTCTGCTTGTTGTGCTGAGTCAAACTGGTTTGTCGGGATTGGGCAGCTGCAGGGGGGTGGGTGTGTGTGTGTGATGAGACTGGGTACAGCTGGGCACCTGATGGGTAGGGGAGGCCCCCTGTCCCAAAGGTAGGCCCTGCCTGTCTGTCCATCCTGCTGGCTGGCAGGGCTAGGTCTGGGATGGGGGGCATGGATGAGCATTGAGGCATTTGGACTCCCTGCCCTGTGCGTCTTTCTCCCTTCTCAGGTTTATTTAATTATAAATCCCCATGATCTGAGGGGAAGAATGAAAAACAAAATGTGTTCTCTGTTCTGAGATGTTCCCCTCCCCTCCTTCTCAGACATGGGGAGGGGGGGGAGGGGGGACCCTGGGTGAGGGCCCTGAGTGGTGGACCTGCCAGCTCCCATGAGGGTGTCTCCCTAAGACTCCTTTCTTCTCAGGCTGACCACCTTGAGTCTGCAGGTTGAAAACCATATGCGTACACATTGACACATGAAGGGAGGGTGGGGAAAGACTGGGGAACCAGATCCCTTGGGTTGCTGAGGTGCATGGGCTTTCTTCCTTCTCTCCCAGGCAGTGCCCAGGGTGTCCTCCTGCCCCTGCACACTCTGCTGGTCCAGTCCTGTAGCATGACCTTTCCTGTCACCTCAAAGCCCCCCGGTCTGGAGTTTGGGCAGGAGGCTTCTTGCTCTGCCGAGATTTATTTGGTTTTCTGGATCTCTATGACACCTTTACTAAGACAAGGGGGTGCTGTCAAGTCTGCCAGCTCCATGAAGCTGTGTGGCCCTTGGCCAGTAGCAAACTCTGGTCTGGCGCTGGGTTCCCAGTTTATATGGAGAAGTGTTGCCCAAAGTGCATGGGGCCAAATCTCTTCCTGATGCCAAATCCCTACCCCCTTCCCAAGGGCTCATGGACCCAGAAGATAGTGCCATTGTGCTGGTAGGGAAGTCTTAGGTAGGGACTATATGTACCTGGGAGGCTGCACCCAGCCACACCCAGAATCATCTTCAAGTCCCAGCTTCTGCCTGAGCCAGGGCAGCAGAAAGGTGGTCTGGGGTTTACTCATCACTGAATACCCTTCCCTGAACCCCAACACCTCCACCTTGGCTTTCTTCAAGAGTGACTCTCGTTGCCCTACCTAAGTACGAAGAACCTTGCCTTCTCCCAAGTCTTCCTGTGCCTCAATTAAACATTCATCCCATAAAGAGAACACAGTTGCTGTGTGTGTGTGTTGCATGTGTATGGAAGGTGAACTCTTGAGGCTTTCCACAAACTGTAGCTATTGATACTTATACTGTGTCTGCATGTTCCTGGGGAGGTTGTGGCATGTCACAGTGCAACTGGGCAGCTGACTAGTTGGTGTGTGACTGTAAGAACAAGTCACTGAGTCTCCATGGAGAAAATGATGCTCATGTTTGTACTTGACTACACTCAAGACTGTGACTTGTAGCTGGCAGTGGAATGCACGATTGCGTGTATAAGGAGAAGGTAATGTCAAGTGTATTTGCCCTCTGTGTATGCATTTGTCTCGGGCCAGCTGCACATACATATTAAAGGAAGACTGTAAGAGTGAGCCTTTGCCTAAGGTGAGCCAAATCTGCGTGTATGAAAGATTCACTGCATATGAATGAATGTCTAAGGAAGACTAATCTGTTTGTACCATGAGCATCCCTGTGTATGAAGCCAATGTGTGTTTGTGGGTGGCTGTGGCTTTGTGTGTTTTTGTTCACCATATGTGTTGACTTGTCGATTTGCCCCAGTGGTGGGGAAGGAGCCCAGTCACTGAGAACAGGGTGCTGTATGTGGATCTGGGTGTCAGTACACACAGGCGAGAGGCACCCAGCTGCTGCCACGTGGCTCTTCTCTGTGGCCCTATGGAAACCTGAAAAAGGGGTGTTGCTTGTGAACTTGTGAACGCTGGAACCTGCGCCCCAGAAACACCCAGCCCTGGCGCCCACTTCTCTGCTAGCTTTCGGAAGCTGTTGGGGTTCCTGACTGACAGAGCCCTCTGTCTGGAGGGTGGTCTGCCTTCTCTCCAGTCTCCCTGTAATAGCCATATGGTGGGGCCATGGGTTGGGGGTGCTGTTGGCAATTGGAGGAGTTTGGAGATGGCTCACTCATTCCTCTTTTGTCCCTGTGCTCTGCCCCTCCAATCCTCTGCCCCAGCATGTGTATGCACACACACTTGCCACGTACAGAGCAGAGAGAATTGGGCTCTGTTGAGACCGTTTCTGTGACCCCCTCCCCCAGCCCACGTCCATCCCTGCCCAGGCAAGAGGCCTGAGGCTCCTGGCTAGAGGTGGTATCCAGGGATCTGAGTGATCCTCGCCTTTTCTCCTTTCGTGCTTGGGCTGGCAAAGGGGAGCAGACCCCTCCACTCCCCCTAGAGAAGTGGGGAAACCGAGAGCGAGCCTCCCTCCCCACCAGGGTGACCGGAGCCCTTCCTCAGGCACACATGACTCGAAATCCAAGTCCTCTCCTCATTAATGGGAAAAATGTGCCGAGATTGAGCGATGGCCAAGACTGAGCGATGGCCAAGCCGATCCCCTCCCTCTCTCACTCCCCAGAAATTAAACAGAAATGAAGAGCCTCCCTCCTTCCAGCCCGTCCGCCTCCCCACCCCTCTCCCTCCTCCGAGCGCTGGGCTTGTTTTAAACTGTGGAGGAATCTGGCTGGAGGGGGGAGGGGGCTGAATATTTGGGTTTAAACAGTTCCAGATGGGTTTGGCACAGGCTGAGCAGAAGGAAGTGAGGGAACGGGAGGAGGGAGGCGCTGCGCGCGGAGCGGTGGGAGCCTTTGCCTGCTCTGCTCAGGCGGACGGGCAGCGGGCGGGCAGACGAGCAGGCAGAGCAGGCGGACTGGCGGGGGGGAAGGGGTGCGCTTGGCTCGGATGGATCCCAGGAACAAGAATACTCCGGTTTGCTGGCTGGGGAAGAGGCCACTTGGCAACCACCCTTTCTTTCTGTCTCTGTCTCCGTCTCTTTGGGTCTCCTTGTCTCTCTATCTCACTGTCTTTTGTAGTCCGCCGCCGGCCATCCTGGCTGTCTGGTCCCAGTCAGCCTGCTTGCACATCCCTCCATCACTGTGCCCGCCCACCCGTCCACCTCCCCCGCCTCCCCGAGGCCCCTGCTCCAGCCTCGCCTCTCTCCCGCCCTTCTCTGGGCCCGGTTTCTCTGTCTATCCTGGCTTCACTTCCCAATGCCCATCTGTCTTGTCTGCCACAGGTGCTGTCAGTTCATCTTGCAGCCTGGTCCTCCGGGGACCAGGCACTGCTGCTGGAAGAAGATGGGGAGCCTCGCTCCCAGCAGTGCCTGGCTGATGCCCTGCCCTCTGCTTTACATGGGAGCACTGGGCCACAGTGCCCTGTCCATAAGCTGGGCTCTACGCCTTATTCTGCGCACACACAGACTCCAGGAAACCAAAGGCTGCCGGGTTCAGGTCTTTCCGGTCTCCACCGCCAGCCTGCCCCACTCTTAGAGATCCTGCATCAGAGTTGAGGGGAGATTTGCTGGGTGCCCTGTCTCCTGGCTACAAGAAAGGGGTTGGCACTACTCTCCCTTTCCTACCCCTAGGTCAGAGCTTGGGGTCAGCATGCACTTTCAGAGAGCAGAATGGGCCAGTTAGAACCCAGAACCAGGTTGCTAGAGGAGCTTGTTGATGTTAAAAACACTCACGGACCCCTCATGAATGTGTCCTAGCAAGGGGAAATGGAACACAAGATAAGTCTGTAACAAAGCCTCTGGTTCTGTATGAACAGAGAAATGCTTCTAAACCCTGACTTAGGGAACTGGGTGAATGCTCCCTAGAGGAGGTGACAGCTTGTTTGGGACTTCAAGGATTCACACATTTCCAGACTTTCTCTGTCCATACTTTACAGAGGGGTATCTTGGAACTCAGAGTATTCTGGTTAAGGGGTGATATTTGGAGTCAGGTAGACCTGAATTTGAACCACCCTTCAACACATCACCCCAAACCTTAGAAACTTTGCTGTAGGTAATGTATTTTTATGCAAATAACACCATTATGTGGTTTGCATGCCAACATGCACTTCATTTACATGGGTGAAAATAGGGTATATGTACTTTATCTGGCCTTCAGGTTTTGTTATTTTTTGGGGGTTTTTTTGTAATGCGTATGCCACAATAGTCCCTTCTTCCAAAGATTGTAGTGAGCACTGATCTAACTCTTAAGAGGCTGGTTCTTGGTCTTGGTTCCCACACCACCTTCAAAAAGCATTCCTGCCCGGTGTCTCTTGGGAGGTTGAGTGGGAGGTGAGAGTGGAAGCTGGCTCTGGCTAACCAGCATCTCCCCCCCCCCCCCCTTTCTCAGGGCAGTGTGTGCTGGCCTTTGTGCTGGCATTGGAGTCAGGGGAGGCCAGGGCAGTGGGGTCTGGAGCACACAGCCCTTTGTTCCTGGATAAAAGCTCTGCTGGCCCCTTTGTGTGGAGATTAGCGCAGCCTGTAGGTGTGTGAACTGGCCCTGGCTCCCGCCTCATTAACCCTGGCCTAGGGTCAGCAGCAGACACCCACTCCCAGCCAAGCCAGCCTGTAACATCTCTCAGGGCTGGTGTAGGGCCTCCTCTCAGGGCTGGTGTAGGGCTGGAGGGGAAGCTGGGGGCTTCCAGGTTTGGGGAGTGCTGGTAAGAATGGGTTTCTCTTTAGCCTTCTCCCCATTCTGAACTTAGGCCCTGACCTTTTTCTTCTGTTGTTCCTCCAGAGACCCTCATGGACACAAAATGGGTGACATCTGAATTGGCATGGACATCTCATCCAGAAAGTGGGGTAAGAGTTCCCCGCCATCTCCTGAGTGTGGGTTGCCAACAAGACCATCCCCCTCACCTTCTTGTGCCAATCTCTCCTCACCTCTCCAAGACCTCTTACCCTCGGCCCATCACCCTCACCACCTTTGACACATCACGTGTCCTGTTCATCTGTCTCCTTCCTTCTTGTCTGATTGTCCTTCTCTGTGAGTGTTTTCATCTTTCACTCTTCTGCCTGCCCATACACATCTACCATCTTGGTGTTATTTTCCTCTGCTCACCTCTCGAATATCTTCTGCCTGAGCCATTTCTCGCCAGTCTTTCCTGACCATCTTCTTCCTTCCTGGGCCCCTGGAAAGACCACTGGCTCCAGTTAGAGACAAAGCTTACTGTGTAACCTTGAGTAAGTCACTTTGCTCTCTGGGCTTCCATTTCTGTAGTCCTGATAGCTCTAAAATATTCTGGTTACCTTCTTGGATTGCTTTCATGCCTGCTCTGAGCTTTAAAACACTACAGAAGGGTGGGACAGCTATTCTGCCTACATGCCTTGCTGTCACCAGGCCTGGCTATATGACCTTGGACAAGTCTCTACCTCTGTGAGTCTTAGCTTCTTACTATGTAGAATGGGAACAACCAAAGCACCTCCCCGTGAAGTTATTGTGAAGAGTAAATGTAATGGTGATAGGGATAGCCAGTAGTTATTGAACGCTTGCTCTGTCAGACATGTATGTATGTTACATATATTAAATGATTTAATTCTGTACCATTGTATTTAATTCCAATCAGCACTGTTTTACAGAGGAGGAAACCAAGGCATAAAAATAATAAATATTATAGCTAATACTCATATAATACTTGTCACATGCCCAGCCCAGTTCATTGTTATTGAGAAGTGCCTTTGCGTTGGTTCTGACCCATAACTACCTGGATAGGGTTTCCAAGGAGCACCTGGTGAGCTTGAACTGCCAACCTTGGGGTTCAAACCAACCTTGCAGTCCAGCACATTAACCCACAGCACCACTCTTTGCAGACCTCAATGTAGCTGGCAGCATTTATATCCCCATGTTACAGATGGGGAAACAGAGGTCCAGGGAGGTTAAATGACTTACACAGTAAGCAGAAAGTTGGGAGCCCATATAGTCTCACTCCAGAGTCTAGAGATGTAGTAAGCAGTTGGCTAATGTTGGAACTCACTCTGTCTTTTCCACCTGATCCATGCACAGTGGGAAGAGGTAAGTGGCTATGATGAGGCCATGAACCCCATCCGCACGTACCAGGTGTGTAATGTGAGAGAGTCCAGTCAGAACAACTGGCTGCGCACAGGGTTCATCTGGCGGCGGGACGTGCAGCGTGTCTACGTGGAGCTCAAGTTCACTGTGCGTGACTGCAATAGCATCCCTAACATCCCTGGCTCCTGTAAGGAGACCTTCAACCTCTTCTACTATGAGGCTGACAGCGACGTGGCCTCAGCCTCCACCCCTTTCTGGATGGAGAACCCCTACATGAAGGTGGACACCATTGCCCCCGATGAGAGTTTCTCACAGCTTGAAACTGGTCGCGTGAACACCAAGGTGCGCAGCTTCGGGCCGCTCTCCAAGGCCGGCTTCTACCTGGCCTTCCAGGACCAGGGTGCCTGCATGTCGCTCATATCTGTGCGCGCCTTCTACAAGAAGTGTGCGTCCACCATCGCAGGCTTTGCACTCTTCCCTGAGACCCTCACTGGAGCTGAACCCACCTCGCTGGTCATTGCCCCCGGCACCTGCGTTCCCAACGCTGTGGAGGTGTCAGTACCCCTCAAGCTCTACTGCAATGGCGATGGGGAGTGGATGGTACCTGTAGGCGCCTGCACCTGTGCCACCGGCCATGAGCCAGCTGCCAAGGAGACCCAGTGTCGCCGTGAGTGGGGACTGGCCTGGGGAAGGGTCCGCAGGGCTCCGAAGGGAAGGTGTGGGCCATAGCGCCTGCCCGCTGCCCGGTTCTAGGGTGGAAGGAAGAAATAGAAGAGTGAGTCTCAGGTGCAGAGGATATGAGGAGGGGGAAGTACTGAGATACTAAGAAATGAGACAAGATGGTAAGAGAACATGAAACATCCTTGACAGGCAGGTACCTGCTGAACCCGGTCATTGGCTCAGGCAGAGATGCCTGAGTTTTATAACTCAGAGATGCCTGCTTTGTCCCACCCCAAGCATACACTTTACCCATGAGCACTAAATGGACTTAAGGACCTGTGGTCACCTCTTGCTTGGAGTCTCATCTGCCTCTTGAGGTAGTATACATACTCCCTGAAGTTCTGGCCACTTAACACCTGTGTGACCTTTGGTGAAGTTACTTAGCTCTTTGTACTTCAGTTTCCTCAAGTGTATATTATATAGGGACAATAATGACAATGAATTTCATAGGGTGTCATGGTGAATCTGAATGGGTGCATGTAAAGTCCTTAGAATAGTGCCTGGCACAGGGCAAACAGGAACACATAAGTGATAGCCATGCATCTCAGCAACCCTGGGATGCATGGAGGACAGGGATGAAGTTGTCCATGTTTGATACATGAGGGGGTTAGCTATCTGCCTTTGGTAGTTTACCGAGACCCATAATAAGCCCTTACATAGAATTAGACTTTCCAATTATAAAACCCAATCACATAAGGCTCTCTCCTTTAAGCTTCATCGCAATCTTATAAGGTAGATTCCAGTTCTCTATTTGCCAGCATGGAAACTGAGTCTCATAGAGGTTCTGGTCTGAAGGCCACATTGATAGGCAGTGGTAGAGTTAGCTTCACCCTGATGAGAGGGTGCTGAGGGCTTCATCCTCTAAGATTCTCTTCCAGGGAGGCAGTAGCTCTGAGGCTGGGTCACCTCCACCTGGTTGTAAGGCCCAGTGTTATTGTGGAAAGGTGAATAGTGCCTTGCCTGGCCCCTCTCTACTTCTGGATGGGAACCGGCCTGTGACTTCCTCTTCCTAAGTGGAGAAAGGGAGTTGGGTGATGAGCCTGACAGGCTGAAGAGGGGCTAACACTCTGCAGGTCCCTGGCAGGAAATGCATGCTGGTTCCCATAGCAACCAGGCTGGCCTGGCCTCTGCCCCCTCCCCCACTGGTTCAAAGAGCGAGGATAGAATATCACCTTAGTGGGGGACAGGAGGTTGAACCCTAGAGAGGTTTAGGCAGGGGTAGTCCTGTGTGGGTAAGTTGACCACCCTGTGTTTTGGTTTGTCCCAGGACAGTTCTGATTTATGCCCGTTATCTTGTGTTACCTTTCATTAAATATTCCACTGTGAATAGCAAATTCTAGGCCACCGTAGATCTGGGGAATCTACAGGAGCCAGGTCCAGGTTCCCAGTGAGGATGACAGGACAAAAGATCGGGAGGATCGGGAGGATCGTGTTCAGGCTCCCAGCTCTGGGCTAGCTTTGGGGATTCTGAACTCTGGGTGACCCCAGCTTCCTGCCTGCCTCTTTCCCTCTTCTTACTTCTCTCCGAAGCCCCCACCCCTGCCCAAGGGCAGAAAGGCGCTGCCTGGCCCAGCCTGGTGGGTGGGGAGAAAGGCTGGCTGGGAAACTCTGAGGCCTCACCTCCTGGCTGTTTGGGGATTGTCCTTAAGGGTTATCAGAAATGATATTTTTTAGTGCTTCAGGGTGGGGTGGGTGTCCCCTCCCAAGTACGGGTACTGCCAGTCCGCTGGTGGTCTCTTCCCTGCCCCCTCTTCCTCCTCCTCCTCCTCTTGTCTCTTCCCTGCCTCAACAAGCCCAGGCTGTCCAGGTGATGGGGCTGACGTCTTCTTCCAGGAGGCCCCAGGGTTTGGGGGTGGGGGCACAAGGGCGGGGAGGAATCCGCTGACGTGGGGTTTCCATAGGGCAAAAGGGCTTTTTGTGGCTACAGCTGGAGTTAGGCAATCCTAGCATTGCCCCCACAATCTAGGAGGTGGAGGGGCCAGATTCTCGTGGAGGTGTGGAGGATTGGTGTCTGCAGTGCTGGGAGGGGAGGTGAACCCTGCCATCTTTTTCTCCCCCCACAGCCTGTCCCCCTGGGAGCTACAAGGCAAAGCAGGGAGAGGGGCCCTGCCTCCCCTGCCCCCCCAATAGCCGTACCACCTCACCAGCTGCCAGCATATGTACCTGCCACAATACCTTCTACCGTGCGGACTCAGATTCTCCAGACAGTGCCTGCACCAGTGAGTGAACACGCATCCTCACACCCATTTTCCTGATGGTGACACTGGGGCTCAGGGAGGTTAGATGTGGTCAGGATGGCTCAGTTAGGAGAAGTGACCATCCCTGAGCTAGAAACTGGGCTGGCCACACCATCCCTCCCACAAACATTTGATAAGCTTCTTGTTACATTGTTGTTAAGTGCCTTTGAGTTGGTTCTGACCCATAGCGGCTCTGTATAGGGTTTCTGAGAAGCCGCTGGTGAGCTTGAACTGCTGACTTTGCGGTTCAGACTGACTTTCTGTCCAGCACATTAACCCATAATGCTACCCCAGGATTCCAACTAGTCCCTAAAGAGCCCTGATGGTAGTGAGTTCATTGGCTGCTTACTGCAAGGTCAGCAGTTCAAACCCACCAACCACTGTGAAGGAGAAAGATAAGACTATCTGCTCGCATCAAGATTTAGTTTTGGAAACCCAGCAGTTCTCTGTCCTGTAGGGTCACTATGAGTAATTTGACTTAATGGCAATGGGGTCGTTTTGGATTTACCAGCCTCTAGGAGCCCTGGTATGGCGTTGTGGGCTAATGCGTCAGACAGCAAAGTCGCTTGAACTGCAAGGTCGGTGGTTCAAGCTCACCAGCTGCTCCTTGGAAGCCCTATACAGGGTCACTATGGGTCAGAATCAACTCGACAGCACTTAATGACAACAAGAAGTCAGGCATCAGAAACGAGCTGGGGCTTTCTAGCCTGATGCTCTTTCCCTTCAAAAGAACTGTTACCCTCTTGTCCTAATCTTCACCATGGAGGGACCTCACACCCCTGGGGCAGCCTAGTGTCCTACTCTCCCTGCTCTGGCCTGGGATGTGGAGGAGAAAAAGATGTAGTCATAATCCTAAAGGAGTCAACAACCTGGGGACAGGGTGGGCTTTGGGGGGCAGGGAGAAAACAGTTGTGAAAAGTGATAATGATCATATGTGGTAAGTGCTGAACTAGAGTGATGCCCCAGGAATTGTGGTCTGGGACGACAGAGGGTGGAGAAAGCTTGAATATAGGAGGCTTCCAGAGTATGGGGATGATGACATCTGAAGTTGAGCCTTGAAGGATAAATAGCCATTTGCCAGGTAACAAAGTCTCGAAAAGGTGTTCTGCTGACTACTGCAGAAGCAGCTTGGTATATACAAGGACTCTGGGCAGGATGTGGTCCAAGTTCCCCCCAGCTCACTGCCTCACTTCACCTTCCCTGCAGCGGTGCCGTCTCCCCCACGGGGAGTGATCTCCAACGTAAATGAGACCTCTCTGATCCTCGAGTGGAGTGAACCTCGGGACCTGGGTGGCCGAGACGACCTCCTGTACAATGTCATCTGCAAGAAGTGCCGGGGGGTCCCTGGGACTGGGGGATCCTCAGGCTGCTCACGCTGTGATGACAACGTGGAGTTTGTGCCTCGGCAGCTGGGCCTGACAGAGCGCCGGGTCCACATCAGCCACCTGCTGGCCCACACACGCTACACCTTCGAGGTGCAGGCAGTCAATGGTGTCTCCGGCAAGAGCCCCCTGCCTCCTCGCTATGCAGCTGTGAATATCACCACCAATCAGGCTGGTGAGGAGGGACACGGGAGGGTGGGACTCAGGGCCGGCCAAGGGACCACCAGAGGGCCTGTGGGAACTGGGGCCTCCAGAGGATGTTAGGGCCTGGGGAGCCCCTGGTAAATCCTTCCTCTTCCCCTAGCACCATCTGAAGTGCCTACGCTACACCTGCACAGCAGCTCAGGCAGCAGCCTGACCCTGTCCTGGGCACCTCCAGAGTGGCCCAACGGAGTCATCCTGGACTACGAGATGAAGTACTTTGAGAAGGTCAGTACCTCACCGGGCAGGAGGTGGCTCTGGGCTGAGCTGGGACAAGATTGCCTTCAGATGGTACAAGGCCTCAGGTGCTGAGAGGTGTGTGGGCAAAGGCTGTGTGGCCACAGAGAGCTGCTAAGGATGCCTCTTTCTTCCTGGCATTGCAGAGTGAGGGCATCGCCTCCACAGTGACCAGCCAGAAGAACTCAGTGCAGCTGGATGGGCTGAGGCCTGACGCCCGCTACGTGGTACAGGTTCGGGCCCGCACTGTGGCTGGCTATGGACAGTACAGCCACCCAGCTGAGTTTGAGACCACAAGCGAGCGAGGTACATACCCCCTTGCCTTTGTCCCTACCCCAGCCCATGCTTACCCTTCTTCTCCTCACCAGTCCTTCTCGTCTCTAGGTTCTGGTGCTCAACAACTCCAGGAGCAGCTCCCCCTCATCGTGGGCTCAGCCATGGCCGGGCTGGTCTTCCTGGTGGCTATCGTGGTCATTGCCATCATCTGCCTCAGGTACCCCCAGCCCTGAGACTGCTTCTGTGGCTGACTAGAGCTTCCCTTTAGTGCCCCAGAGATGAATCACCATCCCCTCAAGTGTCTCAGCCTTCCTGGTCCCAGTCTCTCCTTGCTGGGCAGGCCCTGTCCACTCCATGCCCATGTCCTCTCATCTTGTCCCTCACTGCCTCCCTCAGGGGCCAAGCCCACTGTGTCCCTTGCTCAGAGCCCCACTGACTGCTGTTGTAACCACCAGCTGTGGTTCCAGGTTGTCCCTTGTGCTCTATCTGCCCCCCTGTGAGCCCAGGACAAGGGACCTGTAGGACTTGTCTCACTCAGACTTTCCTTCTGCCCACCCTCCACTAGGAAACAGCGACACCGCACTGATTCGGAGTACACGGAGAAGCTACAGCAATACGGTGAGTTTGTCTCCTCACTCCAACCTCACAAAGCTTCTCAGGACCCCTGCAGGCCTTAGAGACACCCTATTCCCTGTCTGAGCCTTAATTCCCTGGAAGCTCACTCCTTCCAATCAGGTGCCATTCCAGGTCCCTCCTCATTCCAGGCACAGAGCCCTTCCTCACTCCAACTTCATGCCTCTCTCCAATGATTCTGAGTCCCTCCTCACTCCAGGTACTCTAAGCCCATACCTAACTCCAGGTACTCTTAACTTTATACCTAACTCTGGATACCCTGAGCCTTTCCTCACTCTAAGTTCATACCTCATTCCAGGTACTCTGAGCCCCTTCTCACCTCAGGTACTCTGAGCCTATACTTCACTCCAGATACTCTGAGTCCATACCTCACTCCAAATACTCTGGTGCTAGCTCCAGAGATAAATGAGAACATGACCCCTGCCCCCAAAAGCAGTTAGTCCTATAGGAAGGACAAGATACATATATACAGGAAACAATTAGAAAACAATTAAATGTTAAGCCGGGAGTTCCTGTTATGAAGGGCAGTAAAAGTTCAGAGAAGCAGAAGGCTTCCTGGAGGAGGTGAATTTGCACTGAGATGAGCCGAGCAGAATGAGTAGGGGTGTGGAGGAGAGCATTCCTGGCCAGAAGAGCTACTGGAAGGTGGTGGGTGGGGTGGGGAGAGTTCCTAGCCGTGGGGGCAGTGAGAAGACTGGTTTGACAGCTGCTGAGGCAAGTCTTGGGTAGTTGTGGCCAGTCCTTGGAGGGTCGTGAAAGGCAAGCAGAGGAGTTTGGACTTGAATCCTCCATAGGTAATAGGAAAGGCTTTCAAGCTGGGGAGTAATACAATGAAAGTATTGTCTTAGGACATGAGTGGTATGCAGGATAGATTGGTGGGAAAAGCGTCCAGAGACAGGCAGCCCAGCTGGAAGTCTATTGCAGTAGTCTGAGTGCGGAAGGCCTGGACAAGGTCAAGGGTAGTGGGAATGAGGGGAGAGATGCATCCGAGAGAGGCTTGATGTGATGAGAGATGAGGGAGAAGGAAGAGTAAGAGCAGAATCCTACGTTTCTAGCATTTGTCATTACTAGGCATTCTCATGTTGGGGACCGAGTAGCGCTTTAGCGGAAGGGAACACCGGGTCTGCTTGCAGGCTGAATGTGCTCCCATGTTGGTGAATGGGGGTGCCCCAGAGCTTGAGTGTGAGTGAGGCTTGAAGAATCCCCTGACAATTTCTGATCTGAAGATATGTTCCCCTCTCATACCCTGCCTTCAGTTGCTCCTGGAATGAAGGTTTATATTGACCCTTTTACCTATGAGGACCCTAACGAGGCTGTGCGGGAGTTTGCCAAAGAGATCGACGTGTCATGTGTCAAGATAGAAGAGGTGATTGGAGCTGGTAAGTCCCCTGGGACATAGTGGGGGTGAGAGGCTAGGGGCTCTCCAGGAGAGGGCTGAGTGAGGCAAGCTGGATACAGGGGTGATATCTAGAAATAACGTATGCCTTATGCCCTATAGGGGAGTTTGGGGAAGTGTGCCGGGGTCGACTGAAACAGCCCGGCCGTCGGGAGGTGTTTGTGGCTATCAAGACACTGAAGGTGGGCTACACTGAAAGACAGCGGCGGGACTTCCTGAGTGAAGCCTCCATCATGGGTCAGTTTGACCACCCCAACATCATCCGACTGGAGGGCGTGGTCACCAAAAGTCGGCCAGTGATGATCCTCACTGAGTTCATGGAGAACTGTGCTCTGGACTCCTTCCTTCGGGTAAGAACCAGCCCGACCACTTCCCCTCTCCCAGAGAGCAGGGCTGGGTCAGCCACCATCCCACAAGGTAGATCCAGCCCAATACTTATGAGGTAGCATGGTACCACCAGAGTCACATTGTGATTCTGCCCCTTATTGCCTGTGTGACCTCAGGAAAGTTACTTAACCTCTCTGAATTTCAGCTGTCTTGATATAAAATGAGAGTAGTAAGAGCTGTTGGATTCTTGAGAATGAATTGAGATGTTGTCTGGAACCAAGTACTCTCAGCATATTCTGAAGTTAGAGGCATGGTCTTTGTCCTCTGTCTCTGAGGAGAGAGTGGGCAGGCCAAGGCAGGCCCTGGACCGTGAGGGAGGGGATGGATCGATGAGCCTGCTTGTTGCCTGCAGCTCAACGATGGGCAGTTCACAGTCATCCAGCTGGTGGGCATGTTGAGGGGCATTGCTGCTGGCATGAAGTACCTATCGGAGATGAACTACGTGCACCGAGACCTGGCTGCCCGCAACATCCTCGTCAACAGCAACCTAGTCTGCAAAGTCTCCGACTTCGGACTCTCCCGCTTTCTGGAGGATGATCCCTCCGATCCCACCTACACCAGTTCCCTGGTACCAGAAGTAGCCGGGAGGGAAACAGGGGGTGGGGCTAACCAGGCAGGGGCTGGGGGCTGGGGGCCAGCCCTGAGTCACAGGGTGAAGGGAGTATGCCCCCCACACCAGGGCGGGAAGATCCCCATTCGATGGACCGCCCCAGAGGCCATAGCCTATCGGAAGTTCACTTCTGCTAGTGATGTGTGGAGCTACGGAATCGTCATGTGGGAAGTCATGAGCTACGGGGAGAGACCCTACTGGGACATGAGCAACCAGGATGTGAGTGGGGCCCAGCCAGAGCGGTTGGTAGGTGGGAGCTGACTGGGAGCCGAGTGGTGGCTCACTCTGGCTCCCTGCCCTGGGCCAGGTGATTAATGCCGTGGAACAGGATTACCGGTTGCCCCCACCCATGGACTGCCCCACAGCACTGCACCAGCTCATGCTAGACTGTTGGGTGCGGGACCGGAACCTCAGGCCCAAGTTCTCCCAAATTGTCAACACCCTGGACAAGCTCATCCGCAACGCTGCCAGCCTCAAGGTCATCGCCAGTGCCCAGTCTGGGTTGGTAACTCTGCCTTTCTTCTCTCCTTGCTTTAAAGCCAGCAGCCCTGCCCCACTTCCCCTGCCCTCAGTCCTCACCAAGCCCCTCTTTCTCCCCACAGCATGACACAGCCCCTCCTAGACCGCACTGTCCCAGATTATACGACCTTTACAACCGTTGGTGACTGGCTGGATGCCATCAAGATGGGGCGGTACAAAGAGAGCTTCATCAGCGCAGGGTTTGCGTCCTTTGACCTAGTGGCCCAGATGACCGCAGAGTGAGTGTGCCTGGGGACAGGGAATGGGCTAGAACCTGGGGTCAGAGGAGTGGGGCATAAGAAGAGAGTCCAACTCTGCCCTTGGTCCATCCTGCAGAGACCTGCTTCGGATCGGAGTCACCTTGGCAGGCCACCAGAAGAAGATCCTCAGCAGCATACAGGACATGCGGGTGCAGATGAACCAGACGCTGCCTGTGCAGGTCTGACACCTGATTCCCACCGGTGGCTGCCCCTCAAGGACTACAAAGAGATCTGACCAGCCAGCTGGACTTTTAGACGTCTGGCTTCAGACTGTGGCCAGAAGAAGGAAGTTTGGGGAGCGCCAGGCCTGTGCTCCCTCCCCAGGAAATATGCCCCAAACCTCTTCATATTGAAGAAGGATTAGGAGAGGGATTATGGTCCCCTCCCCAGACTTACTGGGGCTCAGGTCTTTCTGCTCTCCAGTGGGTGCTTCCCACAACCTCAGACTTGGCTACACCTCAGTACTGGAGGTCCTGGCAGGATCAGTGGGGTTCCACAGGGCCCAGCCCTGGCAGGGGTCTGGCCCCCCCAGGTAGGCAGAAAGCAGTCCCTCCCTCAGGAACTGGAGGAGGGGACTCCAGGAATGGGGAAATGTGACACCCTACCCCAAAGCCAGCTGGCACCTCCAGTTTGCACAGGGACCGTTGTTCTGGGAGCTGAGGGGTCTGCCCCCACCCCTGTCCTTGGTGCTGTTATAAAAGGGCAGGCAGGGGCAGACTGAAAAGGAGCCAGAGATCGGATGTATGAGTGTGTGTGTGTAAGTGTGCACGTGTGCACGCACTGGTCTGCACAGGGAGTGTGTAAAAGCTGGGCCCTATGCCTTGCCCTAGGGCAGCTGGGCCGTCAGTGGAATAAAGGCAATAAGATGAGTGTCGGACCCCTTCTCATTCTTCCTACCAAGGCAGGATTTCCTGATGTCTAGGGTTCACAACCTTGGGTCCTCAGCTCTTCAGAACTTGGTGGAATCATTGGGCGACTGAATTCAGGCCTATCCAGACTCAACTTAACTTTTGTGCTTTGGCCTCACTTCTTTGAGCAGCTAAGACTCCTCAGAAGTGGAGCGATCACAAGGGAAAGCAAACTTGCCCTGAGCTCCTTCCGTTCGAGGATCCAGGCCTGGGAGAGGGTGGGGAGGAGGGCAGACACTTGAGCCTGGTAGCAGACAGTCCTTTCATACCCTTTGTCTCTGAAAGGAGAGGGGGGTTGGTCAGTTCCCAGGGTCATGTGGCCAAGGACAAAGAGGATAAGAGTCCACTAGTGTTGAGATGCGTTCTGTGGGGGACACCAGTTCCTTTCACCAAACCCAAGCGCAGAAGAGCTACTCTTTATGGAGCGCTTACTTTATTCCAGCTGCCAGGCTAAACGTTCCATTTATACGCGGGTCTTCTTTAATCTCACAACACCCCAGCTAAAGAAGGAAGTATTTGTACCTCCTTTTTACAGAGGAGGAAAGGGAGAGGTTAAGTCACTTATCCAAAGGCTCTGAGACAGTGTGTGGCAGGGATTCCCACCCCAAGATGAGGAGAAATAACAAAAACCAGGGAGAATTAGAAACAGCTTCTGGAAATGTCAGAGGGGGAAGGCTCAGAGACCACTCTGGACATAGTAATTAGAAGCGGGGTGGGAATGAGAGGCAGGTACCAGTTGTTTTCCAAGTGTCAGGAGAGCCTGTGAGCTATGAACATTTTCAGGTCAGGGAATGGGTTTCCAAGGTATCTGCAAGGACGGATGCTGGGTGGGGACCAGTACCCACAAGGGAAGGGATGTGGGCGATGGGCTATAGATCTTGAGGTTCACATCTCCCAGACTTTCCAGAACAGGCAGAGCTTCTAAGGAGAATTCTAAATACTGGAGCATAGAAGTAGCGGTATCTGCAGGTCAGGAAACAAAGGGAAGCTAGGACCAGAGCAAGGTGGTGATGGCAATAGCTCACTTGGTGGTGCCATGGCTGTTTGATGGGAAGTGTCCCTCCAGGACCTCTCTTTAATGTTTGCCCCAGAGCTGAGTGCTGCTCAGCAGTATTGGGGGCCTAGGGAAGGGGCACTGAGTAAGTCTCAGGTGTCCCCTGAAGGGAGATGGGGAAAGAGCACCTCCTCTAGGGTCACGATTCTATCATGGTTGAAAGCCGAAGGCCAAGGAAGGGCTCTGTTAAGAGAGGTGACTACTGGGGCTGAGGTCGCCCTGGGCCCAGGCGCAGAACCTGTCAACAGCTAGAGGTGTTTAGGGAGGAAGGAGGGAGGGTGCTGAGGTATCCTGGCACGGCATGTACAGCTGAGGACTCAGATAAAGGGGAGGGGGCTCCCCAGGTTACTGTTCATTGTCTACTTCCTATTTCTGGGGCTCAGGCCTTTCTGGAGAAGGGCCTGTGGTCCATGCCTCCTGGGATAACCCCCTCACCATCCTGTCCTATCATTGACTATGGTATCAGAGAGTCTGATACCGTAGGTATCAGGGTGCTGCGACACTGGGGTGGCTTTGTGGGAAGTGGAGAGATATTGCACCCTACTGAGTCTGCCAGGAGGGTGGGATTGTGGACATCAAGCACCAAGAAAGTAGGGGCCTGGAGACAGACAATAAAGGGGCCACATGGAATGTGTACACTCCCAAGGTGGAAAATCTCGAAGAATGTCATGAGCCCAAAACTCAGGGTGCCTTGTACAGCCTACCGCATATACTTCCCTCTATGTGTACCAGTGCAGTTAGGATCAGCACTGGACTGCTAACCATGAGGTCAGCAGTTCAAATACACCAGTCACTCTCAGAAACCCTATGTGCTTCTTCCACTCACCCACAGAAACAGCAGCAAGGGGCAAGCTTCACCTACCCAAGCCACACCCACACCATACCACGAAACCACCACCCTTTTGCTGGCTTACATCTTTTCAGTTTCAGGACCCTCCCTGGTCTCATCTTTCATCCCTTATACCCTCTGAACTTTCTGAGATTGAGATGATGTGGGGATAGAGATGCAAAGAAGGAGGAAGGAAAGTCCTCCTGGAAAGCATCTCCCTTTGGTACATTGAGGTTTGGTAGAGGGATGTCTAATGTAAGTGATGTGCATTTCATTTGAAAGACATATGATCAATCTTCAGACTTCTGAGCAGGGTTGCAAGGAAGAATGGGGCTTTGATTAGAGAAGAATGAAGGCACCTAGTGTGTTCTGTCTTGGTTAGGTCTATACTCTTGGGGGAAGGATATTAAATCTCCCAAGTTAAGGAGGGGTGGCAGGACCAGCTCCCCAAAGAACCCATTTCTTGCCTGAGTCTATGCCTGAATTCAGTAGGGACAGCTAGGGAGAGTAAGTAGCTATAGGCTCTGTTCAGCCCCCTAACCATGTCCCCCTCCTCCAGGTTGGCCCCAGGGAGAGGTACCTGGATAACCTTGGATCTGAACTTGGGTGACCAAACTTCATAATAAGTGCTCAAAAATGGTAGCTACTATGGAGTCCTGGTGTGGCACTGTGGGATAAAGCAAGGTCTGTTTGAATTGCAAGGTCGGCAGTTCAAATTCACCAGCTGCTCCTCAGAAACCCTGTACAGAGTTGCTGAGTCAGAACCGGCTCGACAGCACTTAACAACAACTACTGCAATTGTTTAATATGAAGCTTAACAGCACAGATAAGAAAATACTGAACAGTGTTTGCACATAGTTGTTGTTAAGTGCTGTTGAGTCGGTTCTGACTCATGGCAACCCTGTATAGGGTTTCCAAGGCTTTTAAAAATCTTTTCATGAGCAGAAAGCCTCATTTTTCTCCTAAGGGTTGACTGGCAGGCCTTGTGGTTCACAATCCAGTGCTTATGGTATGGCACAGGCTGAATAAACCAAAACTCCTGGGAAAGCCACCCAACACCATTCAGGTGTCTGGAAGGGGAAAGTTAAGGGCTCCCACAGGTTACAAAAGGTTGGGGGAGTTAAGGAGCCAAAGCAAAATGTCCCACTATGGAGATGCTGGACATTTTGCTACAGGTTTGACCCTGACCCCGGACTGGTTTCCAGGACAGGGCTGCTGGGAGGTAAGTGGTTTGAAGGCAATGAGGTAAGGGGTAGAGAATCCTATAAATTCCAAGGGAGCTTGGATCCTGCATTTCTCCTCTTAGCACACTGGTCCTGGACTTGGCAGGGGATGAGGGTGATCCTTCCCTTCAACATCTATTTATTTTTCAAATATTTACTGAGTATCTATTATGTGCCAAGGATTGTATCATACTGGGCACTAGGAATACTGTTATGAACAAGAACAGAGATGCCCACGCTTCAAAGAGCTTGAAGCCTAATAGGGGCACAGTAGTTGTTGTTGTTATAAGGTGCCATCAAGTTGGTTCCGATTTATAGTGACCCTATGCACAACAGAACGAAACACTGCCTGGTCCTACATCATCCTCACAATTGTTACATGTGAGCCCATTGTTGCTGCCACTGTTTCAATTCATCTTGTTAGGGGTCTTACTCTTTTCCACTGACCTTCCATTTTGCCAAGCACGATGTCCTTCTCCAGAGACTGGTCCCTCCTGACAACATATTTGAAATGTACCCTATCCTTGCTTCTAAGGAGTAATCTGGTTGCACTCATTCTAAGACAGATTTGTTTATTCTTCTGGTAGTGCACGGTACTTTGAGTAGTCTTCTCCAAAACCATAACTCAAATGCATCGATACTTCTATGGTCTTCACATGCATATGAGGTGATTGAAAATACCATGGCTTAGGTCTGGTGACTCTTACTCCTCACATGGTTATCTTTGCTCTTTAACACTTTTTAAAGAAGTCTTTTGCAGCAGAGTTGCCTAATGCAATATGTGGTTTGATTTCTTGACTACTGCTTCCATAAGTGTTTTTCTTTTTTTGTTGTTGTTATTGTTAAATGCCATGGAGTTAGTTATTGTTAAATGCTGTGGAGTCAGTTACAACTCACAGTGACCCTGTGTAGGGTTTCCAAGGAGCAACTAGTGGGTTTTAACCGCCACTTTTTGTTTCAAACCGACCTTGTGGTACAGTGCTTTATCCTACAGCACAAATAAATGTTGCAAAAAGTAGAACATTGTAAGAAACCATAACTCCAGGGTGCTAAGCTAGCCTTGGGCAGGCCTGGGGGTCCTCTAATCAGTCATGTAATGCCCAGCAGAGGGAGCTGGGGCCCCCATTACCTTAAGGATGTCTTTAACATTTTGGCATCTGACCTTCGCTCTCTATCTCCCTCCTTCATTCATTGAGTCAGTATACATTTATTTATTGGCCCCTCCCATCTGCTGGTCCTAGTGTGAGGGTTTGGGATGTAGGAATGAGCCCATCACAACCTCCACTCCCTAGAGATGTGCACAGCTCAGAGGAGAATACTGATATACTTGTAAAAGCCAGCTAGCATAATATAATGACACATGTGCTATAGGTATGTAGGTACCAGTGCTGTAAGGAAGGGACCCAGGCTGGGAATTCTGTTAAAGAAGGCTACTTGAAGAGGTATTTTTTGAACTAAGCCTGGAGGTCATGTTGGAGGTAGCAAGACAAGGAAGACGAGCAGTATACTCAATGGTCCTGAGTCAGGTAAGGACAGGACCTTACCTGAGTCAGGTAAGGACAGGACCGGTAAGAGGCACACAAGCCATTCAGAAAGGAGCAGGCTCATGGACATGTGATATTGACCAGGTCTTCCTTTCCCCATAATCTATTCCCATATGGCTTCTCATGAACCAGTTTTGGGCACCTGGTTCTAGAAGATTTACAATTCT